AATTTAAAGAAGTTGAGAAAAATCGAGATGAATTTTCCTATTCGAACAGAGTTGTCTGTAAAAAAGCAGTCCGTCTCTCTTCGATTCTTTTCATTTATCAATAGGAAGGTAAATTAATCCACTAATAAGGTTTAAGAAATAACACTCTTCTTTCTCACCTCCAAGAGAAAAATCAACGAAAATGTATTCGTCTTGATAGTAAATAACTCCTTCTTTGTCGCTTATTTCATCAACCAAGGAGAAGCATTTGTCAAAATCTTCACTGAGGCTAAGTGATTCGGGATGAGCGTATGTATAGATTTTTTTGCATTCTTGGCACATTTCTTTTTTTAGTGCTTTGTTTTCATTTTCCTTTTCTTGCAGAACTTCTTCAAGTTTTTTATTTTTCCCTTCAGAAATTTCTTTTTTATTTTTTTCTTTATTAAATTTATTCCACAATACGGCAATAGCAACAATTAATAATGCAAACGTAGTTAAGATAGCTATTGCTACTGACTTTTCCCAAATGGAAATTCCATAGGAAATCATCACCAATATTCCAGTAAATATTTTGATAATTCACTCAATATTTTTTTTATCCATGTAATATTAACTTATTTTTAGTTTGCTTACAATTTACTTATTCCCGTAAAACTGCCAATTTAATTTCTTAACTTTTTCGGATATCCCATAACTCTTATCCTTCATATCACAATAAGGAACATACAAAAGATTTTTATCCAAAAGGGAAATCAAAAATTTTTGTTGGTCGGTAAATGATAATTCAGTAAATTCCTGCTTGGAATTGTCAATATTTTTTGGCTCTATCTTATAACTCAAAAACGCAATTTTTTTCATTTGCTCCCAAATTTCTCAAAGTTCTTGCGTATTTTTTGCTCCTTGAATTTGGTTAATAAATTGCTGATTGAATTCCGCTAATTCACAATAAACAAAAGAGCCTTTATTATCAATTTCACAAACTTTTCTAATTCTTTCTTTGGTTACAGTTTCAATATAATCCATTTGTTCGCAAATGATAAATTTCCGGTTTCCTCCGTCTTGCTTATTAAGTTCTAATACCGCATGAGCCGTGGTACCACTGCCAGCAAAAAAGTCTAAAATGATAGCATTTTTATCATTACCAACTACCGCATAAAGGCAATCATAGACATTTCAAAGGGATTTGGGGAAAGTGAATGGGGCGTCCGGCACCAAAGATTTAAGAATTTGGGTTCCGTAAATATTCGCATCGTATTTGGCATCAGCCCAGACAGTTTTGTAAGTTCCGAAATCTTTTCCTAATTCAATTTCATAGCCATTTTTCGTTTTTTT